AAAATTACAGGAAGAACTAAGACATCTGTTTGGACAGTTTTTGAAATGCAGAAATGGTAGCAACTATATGTTATTTTCGTAATTACTGTTTATTATTATGACATAAATTTACTTCCGCTTGTTGTTACAATAATAAAAAAGACAAGAACGAAACAGTAATGTTTTATTGGTGGTCATTTTCTGCAATTTAATTGGTAGWTTTTTTGATTTACAATTTTTGCCGTTAGTACTTCATAGCTCAATTTTAAAATCCTCTTTTTTGCGAAAATACCTAAATAAATTCCTAGTCCTTTGTTATCTCATCTTGTTTTCATGACAATTCATCAATAATTGTCAACATTAATTTACAATGGAAACGTTCGTCAATTTAAATCTCCGGTAGTCCGGTTGTCAACTATACACAAATGTCCAGCTACTGACTAAATTAATTTAGTATTTATTTAAATTAAAACCACTACATTTACAAAATAAATCAGTTTACGTTTTAATTTGGTAAATTATTGTTTAACTTTCTGCTTTTCTGCTCGCAGTCGAGCAAAATGCAAAAGAAAATTGTATACACGATATTTATTTCTTTAATAAAAAAATGAATGAATGATTGTCATAAAATATCGAAAATTAAAACTCTAATAACCATGGGCYCCCGCAGAACTTATGGCCAGGGGGGGGGGCAAAAAAAAACAGTCGAAATTYATAAGAGCAGTTTCATTTGTCGATTTTCATATCACTCAGTTCGTGATAAAAATGTAAATATTAGTTACTTATTTCGTTCATGAAAATTTAAGTTGGAACGTGTTTGTAAGAAATCAAAAAAATCTTTTTTTTTATATCAAATATAGCAACCACTATCGTCCCAGGGGGGGCAAGAAGTGTTGAATAAAATCACTTTATTATGCACTAAATTGGAAGTGTTCCCATTATTATGAAATTTTACACACAGAAACTGTACCAAAAACTATAACCTTTCACCTAAATAACCACTCTTACTCAATGAAGTCTTCGTTAGTGTTACGTTCCACCCACATTTTATTGSTATACTTTCATTTTTCTTAATTTTTTATTATAGTCCTTAAAATATACATTGTGTTGTTCTGCAGTAATCAAAGAATCTCAAAAATGATATTAATTATTGTCATTACAAATGCAAGTCAGCACACGATATGATCGATTACTGCACGATCTATTACAAGACAGTTTTCAACAAGGCTAAACTTCTTGAGATCTATTGAAAACTATTTTTATCGTTTTAATTATTTTGCAATAAAAATGAGGAATGTCGACATGGGCAATTATCTGTTCTTTCAAGCAGACTTTTGAACAGATTTAGTTGTTACAAATGCATTAAATTGATAACTGTGTTAGTTCTTTGTTTAGTTATTACGCGTGTGAAAAACTTCCCTCCAGTAATTATTTAAAAATTATAAACAACTGCAGTTGTAGAAATAATGAAATAGGAGACGTAAAATGGTAGCGCTTTGTTAAAAATTGCAGTGGGAGCAGTTTTGCATTTACGTAATTCCCAAGTTTTAACTAAAAGAATAACCGCACTTTTGCACCATCTCATTAAGACTTCAAAGAATATTTAACTCAAAAATTGTGACAATAGTTTAAGTCCTTTATTAAATTTAATGAAGTGGGACAAAATAAACAAATGGAGCATCTTTRTATAGTTTCATTCTTTGTAAAATTGTKACAATCGCTCGTGAGCTTTGAACTATGACGTTCTATGTATTTATGMGGATTACAACAGATTAGTGAATACCAGAACTGTAACACTGGAAAGGGTATTGTTTATCGTCAATTGATCCGAAATAATTGACATTTGCACTAATGTATTATCCAAAGTCAAGGTAAATGGAGACCCCACCAGCGGTGTGACAGAGGGGGCAGAACTCTCTGTTTGCACGTCACTGAACTGCTGAATGTCGTCAGGTGTAGAGTGTTATCTATACATACTTGGGGAATCTTCGTGATGTGATGTTATGGTAGTTTTATTTACCAAACACCTGGTTTAAGGTAGGCAACTCTTGTTTACTATTGGGGGTGGGCGCTTGCTCGCAAAAGGCTAAATTGTGACAATTTAAAATTTAAACACATCAACTGACAAAAAAATGATAAAAAGGACTTAAAACAAAGAAGAATACATTATAAAATAGTTTTTTCATGATTTCACTCTTCTCATGCAAAATTTGCTCCAAATATTTTTTTTAAAAACATTTCTGTTGATAAAATTTTATGTTAATACATTTC